CTTTTCGTAGCTAATCTTAATAGCCGTTTTGTCCCGAAAAATTTGGTATCTAGATAAAGAAATCGGGGAAATCTTATCTCTCTTCCTCTCTTTTCGCTTATGGCCGAGGAGCGAAGCGAGTTTTTCATTCTCGGATCGACCCTTCCTTCGAGAAACGATTTTCCGCGAAATCGCTTGTTTATCGCGAGCTGCTCGCTTCGATCGATCGATCGGTCGAAAGGGGCGAGTTCCACGTCGAGGCGAGCGTGGCCCGCGTGACAAGTGACGCGCAACGAGGCGGACGAGCATGAGAAGCAGCTCGTGCGACGACCCAAGCGCAATTAACCGATTGCGCGCCGACTGCGGGACCGTTTGACCGTCATCGCGTACAATGAATTCGTGTCACGCCAGAAGATGACGACAGATTAGACCACGAGTCGAATTAAGGGGATGACCGAATGTTTCTCTCGCTTCTCGGCGCGAATTAATATTTAACGAAACCAGTTGCACCATTCTCCGACGATCTCTTTCGAGACCTTGTCGGATCTCTCCCTCCCTCTTCTTTTTCTCTTCCATCGGTTCGAAATCGAAACGATGGTTAGTCCCCCTAAGGGAATTATTTGTTGTGCTTGAACGAGGGAACAGAAGAGACGTTTTCTCTCGCGACACACGCGTACACGCACACGAATATCGGTCCTAATTTGAAACATTAAATAAACGATTTTCGTGTTGCTCTCCCCCTTTCCCCACAAAGCGTAAACAGTGGCACGCGCGCCCCGTGTTTACACAATTTCGCGCGCAGCAAGGGTTACTCGTCGTTCGAACGACGGGTCCAGCCCCCGCGGCCCTCGATCGAGGGTTTTACCGTGTATTTTTGTGAGCACCGAAATTAAACGGGGCCGGATGCGGAGTGGCCACCGCAACCCGATGGGAAACCGCGGCGCGATCCATCCACGTTCTCGTCGGATAAAAATAACGATTTTATCCGCCGAATCCGCTTCCCTCTCCGCCGAGTTTTAAAATAAATCCTTGCCTTAGATTCTCCGTCTAATCCACTGTTGTAACGCGAAGTCAGAAAAATTATTCGCTCGAAATTCTATCTCGACCGATTGAGAATTAAAAAGTAGAAAAAGAATCGAATAAGACGATTAACCGATGTGGAACTGGATACTACTTACGAATATGGAATTGAAGATTTGATCGTAGAATGCGATAGGCGTCTTGAGAATCGTCTCCGCGGACAAGAGCAACCCGTTGGGATCCGTTTGCAGGATCGAGGTGCCGGGTATCGAGTAAGGGTAGAGATCGTTCTTGTTGAGGGCGACGGCGAAGGGCGCGATCAGGGCGAGCACCAGGGCCGGCCACGAGACGCTTAGACGACACGCGCGACGAGTCATTCTCTCTCTCTGACTGCCTTCACGCTACTGTCGATCGACACCGCCACGAAGGCGACCACGAGTTCTCTCTTGCCGCCCCCTAATCGCCTTTGCCCGCTCGTCCTCTCGGCCGCTCTTCTTTCGAACGCATGAAACACCGTCGTCTCTCTGCTCTCTCTCCCTGTGCCGCCGATAATTTCGTGCCGTGGCCCCCCCTCCATCGCGCCAACGCTCGCCTCTTCGCACGCGAGTATCGGCGAGCTTTCGCGACTCTGATCGTTTTTAAGCTTTTTTTTCTTTTTTTTTTTTTTTCTTAACGTTTCTTTATTTTCTTTCGCTTTATTTATTTATTTTTTTTTTTTATTATTATTTTCCACTCGTTATCGCCAATCTCGAGAGATTTAGCCGATTCGAACTTTCGCGACTTGACGTTTTATTACAACGTTCGATCGTTTCGATAGAAAATTATAATAACGAAAAGTTGTTGGATACGTTGGGTGCGAAGAAGAGAAGCGTGGATAATCTTCTTACGGGGAAGATAAAGAGATAGAAAAATTGACGGATGGACAAATATCAAGCAAAAGAATTTTTCTATAATTTATTAGAGGATTGTTTTTGCGTCACGTGATAAAGAGAATTCTAATCGCAGTTAGAGTAAATATTTTCCATCTTATTTACGATAGCTAATTTTTCTTGACTTTTGCAGGCTTTCGATAATAAATCGGATTTTCCATGCTCATCTATTTTTCTCTTCACGCGATACGTATACATAATTTCTTTATATTTACGAAACGAATTTAAACGTTATTCGCGCTATTTGCTTTATTATATTATTTATCAGATAGTGGTCTTATTATCCGATCGCGCGTAACGCGATCGCATCTACTCTCTCTCCATTACCAAGGTCTACGGGGGATTATCCAATCTTCACACGCGTCTCGAAAGATTTAATTAGGGCGAATAATCGGAGGAGCCTTACAATTGGATTTCAAGGTTGCTCCAATCCGGTTGCCCACATCGAACACGATCCGTAAAGATCCAGCGATTACCAACCTCGATCCAACGCGATCGTCATCGGGGGAGAGAGAGAATTTCGTCTCGACCTCGCCACTTCCGCGTTTCGAGCGAGATCGGAACCAAATAAATAAGAAATAAAATTAAATAAGAAAAAGGGAAGAGAACAAAACCAGTTTAATAATCCGATCCAATTTCGTTTAATATCTCGTTTCAAACTACTTGTTACTTGTTTTTCACCGTAACAGCAGTCTTCTATCTCGCGGAGAAGAGCGCGTCTCACGAGTTCCTCTTCGTTGTTCCTCTTCCGCGTCATTTAACTCGCTAATTACCGTACTTACCTGCCTTACATTACCGGTTCCATTCATCGCTCGCCCTCGCTTAGAGATTGTGCGAGATCTGCGGATAGATAGGCTCGACTTCTTCGCGACATCGTGTTTCCTCGCTAGTTTCTCTAGTTTCGCGCGAGACACGCGAAGGCCCGAGCCGAATTCCAGATACGTCGCTGCGCATCGACTCTTGGCTCGGAAACGCGATCCAATAACTTGTCCGAGGAATTCTCGCGTGGAATCTTGCCCTCCTCCTCCTCCTCCTCCTCCTCGTGTTCTCTTCTTCGCAACGGTACCAAATTGTCTGGAATTCGGCGGAGAAAAACTCGTCGATCCAGGCCGGAAGGGAGGGGAGAGAGAGAGAGAGAGTAAAAAAAGAGAGTCGCGAATGAATATCGATCTGGAAATGGAAATTTCCGAGTACTTTATCGATTACGATTTCGTACACGTTGTAAATTGATCTTTATTACAAGAAATTACATGACTAATTTGTACATATAAAATATAAATATGGTACAAGTATTATGGTACAGTAGACGCGTGTGGTTTCCTTTTTTTTTTTTTCTTCTTTTTTTACGTGTGTGGTGGGTTCTCGTGTACATACGTTTCCTGTTAGGTATGTGCGCGCGCATGTGTATATGTGTGTGTGTGTGTGTGTATGCGCGAGTGTATGTGTGTATAATTCTCGTAACGTTCGCTTCCTCGAGCGGAGGATGATGCGGAGGTCGATCAATCCTTAATCGTTAATCGCTATTTTACTTTACCGGTCGAATCGTTTACCAGTCGTGTTTCACGGTAGACGGAGTGACGCGTTTCCCTAAAACGTAAAAAAAGAAAAAGAAGAAAAAAAAAAGAAAAACGGAACGGTGAGGGGGAAAGGATAAACGTTGGGATAAGTTGGGATTCGCTGTTTCGGGAAAGGGGAAAGATCGTCGTGCGTATCGAACGTTGTTGAACGCGTTGCGTCTGCGAATCGGTCGCGGGACGAGTTCGAAGCTAAACCGGAAAGAAAGGCGTGAAGATCGTGAAGATGGCGCGTGTGCACTCGGCGCGGTGGCGGGTTAAGAACAGTCTGGAAACATGGACGAATAGCGTACGGGTTCGTTTAACAAACGGACAACGACACAGGAATCTCGATCGCTTAACGATCGATCGGTCCGCTAGCTTCGAGAACGATTCTCTGCAACTAACGGGGATCGGTTAGATCCTGCGTTGCTCGGTGACCATAGAACCAGTGTGCACCCTCGTCTCGCTCGAATCGTCGAAATCGTCGCAAGAAAGTTAAATTGGATTATCCGCTTTCTTCTTGTTGGCTCGTCGGTTATTTAAACGGAGCTCAACCGTGCGACAACACCGAATGACACGATTCGATTCGATATTCGATAGACGACCAAGAGTAGACGAATTTTGTATCGTGGCACGCGAAAGGGAATTAAGGTCTCTCAGATCTCTTGATATTCGGCGATCCAAGGCCGAGCGACAAAGGCACGGATGGTTTTCATCGATATCGATGGTGGGCACAGTTCGAAAAGCTTGGATATCTCAGCGGCGCGTTACCGGCATTCCCGGATTTATTTTCATCCGGTCTATTTTCATTCTCCGCGGTTCCATCCCCCTCTTCCTTCCACGCTCTACACCCACGCCCACGCCTCGACTCTACGCGAGATTCTCGCGTTTAAACTTCGCGTATTCCATCCCGTGCTCTCTGCCCCTCCTCGCCATCGTTCGCCGAACGAACGAGCCGCCTCTCGTTCCGTTCGAGGAGGAGAGAGGGCACACCTCGCGCACACCGAGCAACTTTTTTTTCACGATTACGAATACGTTTACCGTGGAAAGGCAACGCTGCATCCTCCTCGCGGCATCTTTTTTTCTCCGATTACTTTCTCCCATTCGTTATCTCATCCCTTTCGTTCCATCGTCCTTTCCTCTCGCTCGCTCGCTCGCTCGCATTCCCATCTTCGGTTCTCATCTTCGCTTCTAAAAGTGAATTACAGAGCCCTACGAAGTGCGGTAACTGTTGATAACGATTAAAGCTACGATAATATTCTTGAATTAACGTGCGTGCATTAAATACAATGACTACGACGCGCTTCGTCTCTTCCCCGTCGAGTCTTATCGCGTCTATCGTTTGCCGTATACGAAAGGATTTTCTCGTATCTTCCTTTCGCCGATATTCTCGCCTGGTTACCATCTTTTAGCGATATTATATTTACGTATATTTGTCTCTATCTATTTTTTTTTTTTTTTCATCTTGCACTGTCCGTCGTTTCTTCGTTCTTTCAAATTCGACGTATCAATTTATTTATTTATTTTTTTCTTTTTTTCTTTCTTTCTTTTTTTTTTTTTCACGAATTCGGTGCGAATTCCAGAGGAATCTATTCGATTTAAATTTCGGTTCCGAAATCATCGATCGAGGATTCGAGCGTCGGTTCGAACGATATCTTTTCTTATCATTTTTTTATCCTCCATCGTTCGTTTATTATTTTTTTTTTTTTCCTTTCTTTCTTTTTCCAGAAGAATTCGATACTCGATCCTTGATCGACCAAGCACGCACGACACGATTCTTCGACGTAAAGTTTACTTGCTCTACTCGCGTTGGCGCTGTTCTCGAAGCTTGGCCCAAGTAAAGTAGCATCAGAGCAATTATCGTCTAATCTCGAAACATTACGTTAACGTAATTTCCTCGACGATACGGTCGATTTCGAATTCGAAGAGCAGAAACGGTGACCCGGTTGAATTTCCCCTACGAGTCGAGTCGTCGACGATCGATCGGTATAAAAAATGCAGCACCAACTCGTACGCTAAATTATTTTAATGTCAACAAGCGTGCGTCTCGCGCTATCTCGGCCAACAATCTTTCTTTTAACCTCGCTGGCAAACATCTCGGATATCATCGCCTTCGAGAAACCTTGAATTCGAAGTCGCGATCGAGACGCAAAGGAAGGAACGAATTTCTTTCTTCCGAATCCGAAAAAAGGTGACGCGAATTCACGGCTTAAACGCGAACGGCGCTTCATCCACCTCGGCAAAAAGGGGATGAAAACGATTTATTTAGACAATGCGTAACAATGGCGACGACGATCACGATACACGACTAAACTTGTCATTTAACAACTATATGGACGGAGTCGAGCGACATCATGGTGAGAAAAATATTCCCATCCTCCTCCTCCTCCCATCACCGACCTCGCTCGTCTCGTTTCTCTCTCTCTCCAATCGTTCACACTGCGAACCGCGTTGACGATCAGCACGCTGTCGCGCGCGCTGATCCAAATCTAGGTTAGGTGATCCGGATCCCCGTGGATGTTTCCGCCTGTCTCGAATACGATTGCCGCGGGCAGGAGTCGAAGCAGGTGATCAACAAAACGTGACTCTTGCACGCGTGCACGCGCTTCTGCAGGATACACGTCTCGGCCTCGAGCGCTTCCAGGAACGACGGATCTCGCCAGTCCATACTCTCCTCCACGTGAACTGCAACGGTGAAAATAATTGTAAAAATAAATTGAGCATTGTAAAAAGTATCTATCGAGAGAGCGTGTAAGGTAAGTGAATACTGACGATCGTAGGTCCAGCGCGAGTCGGGCACCATGAGGCGCCTCTTAGCGTCGCGCAGCTCGAGCCTAAGAAGGCGCTGCCGTAGTCGCAGGTTGTGTATCCTGGACATCGTGCCACGTGGATCCGAGCGCAACCGCGCGCGCCTGTCCAGGATGTCCACGTCCTCGCTTGTGTACGCGAGTATCCCCGGGGCCGCGGATGGCGGACGTGGCAGATGGGCCCGGCACTGGCCCCGTGACCGAAGCCCGCACTCTGCCACCCGCTGTTCCACCGCTGAAACACCCGCACAACGTCGAGGTTAGAACTCCCAAAGCGCCACCTGAGGAGAACCATCGTACGGAGGGACCGTTTTAGAGGGTGTTCACCTTTGTCTTCTCACGATTTCAGTGGGACGTGGGTCTTTATCGTGGGTCTTTGTGCAACGTTTCGTCGACTACCGTCTTTCTTGTCGTTCTTGTCGTTGCGCGAGATTTTCCCGAGCGATGGCATGCGATCGTTAATGGGAGAAGAAGGAGAGAGGGGAGGTAAATCCCTTCTCGAGGACACGTTTATTTATTTATTTATTTATTTATTGCCCGAAGGGAGGAAGGTTGGAAACGCGGACAAATATCAACTACCTTGGTGCTCTTGAAGCGCTCCCGTATGCCTGGACGAGTCGCTCGCGATGCTGCTGGTCTCGCTGTCCCTGACGATGCTGTCGTAGCCAGAACTTTCGGCGCGATGCCTGGACAGAGTGGCTGGCGAGAGTTTCGCTGCCCGTGGCGTCGAGTCCGCCCCAGAATCGTACCCCTCCTTGTTCAAGCCCATCGAGGAGCCGAGACTCGTAATTTTACGCTGCATTCGGCCCGAGGATGGGGCCGGTGACGGGATGGACAACTGCAGCGGTGCCGTTCCTCCTGCGAAAGAGTTGTTTTTTGTCGAAATTCGGAATATACTTTAAAACTGCCTCGATCGATAATTTCCTCACCTTGAATCTTGCCGTTCAGTTCCTCCTCGATGTCCGACTTGCCGGTCACGGTCCTCTCGGACCTCTCCGCCGCCGTGAACAATTTCTTCGCCTCGACGTACTCTTCCTCCGGATCCGAGCCGGAGGCACCGTTCCCCGGCAACCTCTCCACCTCTTCCTTCAGATTAGGATTCGAGGCTCCGTCCGGATGCCTCAGACTCGAGATGTTGCAATCGCCAAGTTTGCCGCAGTACCTTCTGGGGCTGGCTATGTGCGCAACGCTGTTCGGGTACCAATAGGAGGCAGTGGCCGGCCTCGCCATGCTCTGACGACAATTGTCGCAGATCTTCTCCTGATCAGACTTGCCGGCTATGTAGGCCGGCTCGCTGTAGATGCTGCCGTGGTTGCTCGCGTTGTCGTTGAACATCACGTCCGACAGGGACAAGGATTGGCATCGCGACGGCGGACGGAAGACGGGGGCGGCTGCAATTTGTCCTGCGTTAATTTCATACTTAATGTTGTACACACCTAATAAGCCGAGAAAGAAAGAGGGAGGATTTTTCGACTCGCGTTGCCGAATTCCCATTACGAGTTACGATTCTTTCGAGAGGAGATTGGAGGGGGGGATGGAGGAAAATCGGAAGGTGGAAGCACACGGTGGCGAGAGAAAACGGCGGGTGAAACTTTGGAGAGACTTACATGGAGTTTCTCTGACGTTCGCGTTCGAGGAGTTCTCCCTTTGATAGGTGACCGAGTTGGAAACGTTGGCCAGCGCCAGTTTGCTTTGGTAGAGCTCGTGGAGCCGGGCCAATTGGTCGAACTTGTGCCTGGTCTCTTGCTCGAGGAAGTCCTCGTGGTCGAAATACGGCCTGGGCAGGACACCTGCGCCGACCGGAGGCGGATACTGCGGTCTGTACCGTTCCGTGTCCGACATCACCGACATCGAGTCTGCAAATTGATCAACGTGTTTCATTCTTTTTCTCTCTCTCTTTCTCTCTCTTAGACCGAGGAAGGGGGCGGACGTTGCTCGTCGTTGAGAACGAAACAAACGATTAGACGATAAGAAGGGGAAAGGGAAAGGAAGGAGAGCGCCTTTAGTCGGAAGCCTCTCCTCTATTTCGAGCGTAAGAAGATGAAAAGTATCGAGTAATTACATCGAATCTCTTCTTCAACTTCCCTTCTCTCTCTCTCTTCTCGATCGTTACACGATCCTCGAGCGTTGGCCATCTCTTTTCTCCTACCCCGCGATATGATTGTTTTCCATCGAGCGCGCTATTACCAAAGCTCGATGGTGGAAGGATTTAAGGATCGACTCTCTCTCTCTCTCTCTCTCTCTCTCTCTCTCTCTCTCTCTCTCTCTCTCTGTCTGTTCGAGGTATTCGAGTACCCTTCGAGCGGAAGGAAGAGAGAAAGGAGAGAACGACACGCCGTGGTACGAGGAAAACCGAGGAAGATCTCATGGAAAACCGTAAGTATTCTCTCGAATAAAATAATATCTCGCGAAATGAAAGTGTATCGAATATCGACCGATATGGTCGAAAAAAAAAAAGAAATAAAAAAGAAAAAAGGATAATTTTTATTTACTTACCGGTAAAGGTGGATACGACGGTAAGATTCTCCTGGCTGAGAATTCTCAAAGGATGCTCTTCCTGGTCGCTCTCGGGCAAAGGATTCTCCCCCATGCACAAGGCGATGTCCTCCTCGGTCACCTGGAGGCACGAGTCCTGCATGGGGACGGGTTCCAGATCCTCGACCTCGACGATCTCCAAGATCTCGTCCTCGGAAGACAACGAATGCCTGGAGGGCAAGACGATGTCCTTGTGCGACAAGTTCAGGCTCTCCATCGAGACCTCCCTGCTCACTCCGTTGCTCAGCGGCTCGATCAGAGGCAACGGCGGAGGCACCACGATTTCCTCGTCATCGTCCTCGTCCTCCTGCAGATCCAACTTCCCTTTGTCCACGCTGTCGTCCATTACGGGGCTGGCCGTCAGATCGAGGCCCGAATCCGTGTTCGACTTCACGTTGAGAAGATTCAGCTTGGCGCCCAGTTTCTCGGTAATGTCCTCGATCTCGTTCGCCTTCAAGCTGTCGCTCTCCACGGTGGACAACGAGGTGTCGTCGTCGTCCATCCCCGAGCACGTCTTGAACGTGGTCAACTCCTTGAACTGGCCGGACGACTGGCCCGACACGGACTTGGACGCCTCGATCCTTGCCGCGGCGTGCCTGCTCTTCTGAATCTGCGACGCCTGATTCTCCACCCATTTCCTGATCATGCTCTTCTTGTGGCTGTCCATGAACCCGTAACCGGAGGAATGTTGCTGGGCGTGCAGCTGCAAGGTGGGCGGCCCGGTCAATTGCATCGGCCCGTCGATCCACGTCTCCCTCTTGTGGTGAGGATCCTTGAGCATGTGCCTAGCCTCGGCGACCTTCGACTTGGAGATCCTCGGACCGTCTATCCACTGCTCGTCCGAGCCACCGCTGGGCGCAGCCACCGGGATCTTGCTCCCGGGCGAGTCGTTCACCTTGGACGAAGGGAGGAGAGCCTTGGTCGACGAGCTCTTCCTCGCCGGGCTGGCCTTGGGGGTGGCGGTGTGGGCGGGGGACGTCTGCTTCGAGGCCGTCTGCGTCAACGTCTTCACCGCCTTGGCCGACTTGTGAACCGGGCTCCTCTCCTCGGGTATCTTGCAGGGCCTCTCGGCCGCGGATCCCCTCAGCACCCTCCCCATCGCGCAGCGATTGTCCCCGGAGTTGAGGCTGGGTATGTAGACGGGGGGATGCTCCCCGTCCGTGGCGTCGTCGGTGCTGGGCCCCACGTAGATCACCGTGTCCGCCGACAGGTCGCTCGAGCTCGGGTCGCACTCGCTGTTCTGCCTCGCCGCCTCCTCCCCCGAACTTCCCCCGCTGCCCGCCCCCTGCGCCCCCCCACCCACGAACTTGATCTTCCTCCGCCTCATCCGGTGAATTCGGGACGCTAGTTGCACGGTGGTCAACGTCTCCGTGTAGTGCTGAGCGTTAGGGGACACGTGGGCGATCATAGCCGCGTGGCACGTCAACGAGCCGAGACACTCCTTCAGCAATTGGGTCAGCTTGTGCTCCTTGTACGGAAGGTGCTTCTGCCCGTTGAAGATCGCTAGCAGGATGTTTCCAAGCCCGGACAACGGGATCCCTCCCGACGACTTGCCGCGATCCGAATTACCCAAGTCCATTAGGTGGAGCCTGCTTCTCCCTCCGGCAACTGGAAAGTAATTAACCAGATTAACGATGAATTGGCGATAAATCCCGTCGTCTTCTGCCGACTCTTCCATCGAAATCGTTCGATCGAACAGAAACGATTTCCCACCAATTACGACGGGGCCCGTGTCGGATCCCGTTCGAGGAACGACACGATGGAGGGTTGATCTCGGCGAACCCCGAGGTCTCCGGAAGCCACTCGAGGCCGAGACCGAGAGGAGAGGAGAGGAGAGGAGAGGAGAGGAGCTGTTTCCTCCGGCTTACTTCGGCCAGCTCGACGACAAACGTTGTTTACGAGCTGGGACTGCGAAGAAGGAGGGGAGGGGGGAGATCGGTTGCGCTCACCTCCACCCTTGCCCGCGACGCTGTACTGATAAACGTGGAGGGTGTAGAGCATGTGCGCGTCGCCGTCCTCTCGTTGTCGGCCCGCGACCGCCGCGTCCAAATAGAAGGCGGCACGTTCCGCAGTCGGCGCGCGAAGCTCGCTGTGCTGCTGCAGCTGCAGGCTACCGAACAGTGGGTCGTCCCTCAAGTACACGGCCGGCGACTGCTCCGAATCTGGGAACAAAGAGCCACGGCAAATCACGTTACACGCGTCCCTTGCCACGCTTGTCACCCGACGATAAATAATAACACGTGTAGGAGTGGTTTCCTTTTTCTTTTTTCCTCCGCGTGAATATATTCCTGATGTAAATAAGCTTTCCACGCGTCGTTAGGGAAATAGGAATCCCGGTTCCGTTAAAGGAACATTGAGTGAATTTAACGATTAGTTAGTTTTTCTCCTATGTCGATAAGTTGAATGTAACGTGTACAGGAGAAGAAATGGAAGCATTTAGTATCTGCTTATGTGTATTTATGCAGAGATTGAATATTTCGCGGATATAAAATATCGGGATATGATATTATTTGAGTGTTGATTTACGTTGCTATTTCTTTCTCCGCGGTGAAAAATATTTCGAGTAAAAGTCGAGTGATTTCAAGAGAGCATGTTGTGATATTATTTATATTTTTGTAGAGATGTTGTACGAAAATAAAATTATGTTTTTTTACATTGGTAGTTGTGATATATCCGTTTCCCATTAAAGAATATTCTATCGTATGATAAAATAAACTATTATTTTATGAGATTTTTAATTATTTTAATTTCTAAATTAATAGTTTTTTTATTTATATAGAAATTTCATAATCAATATGGAGTAAAATCGTGAAAAAATGTTCGACGTAAAAAAGTAAGTATAAGGAAAGGTAAGTAACGTTTAAATACGTTAAATTCCAAGAAAAGTTTCACGCATCATTTCCACTCGAATTATAGCTTTCTGATATAAAATCATTACATATCGTAAAATCGAAAAATTTCGGTGGTTCTTAGAAATGACGTCAAATTCTTAGAATTTAAGAAATTCTTGGAAATGACGTCAAATTCTTGGAATTTTCGAAATTCTTGGAAATGACGTCAAATTCTTGAAATTCACAAAAATTTTCAAACTATGTTTTCAAAATATTGCTTTGTTTATAAACAAAGGTTTGTTTATTTACATTTCTCTTTGTTTATTTACATTTTCAATGTTTATTTACAAAAATTTTCGAAAATTTTTGAAAATTTTGGTCCCCGTTCCAGAATTTTACTTTGTTTGCAAACATTGGTTTGTTTATTTACATTTTTTCATTGTTTGTTTTGAGAAAATTCTTGGAAATGACGTCATATTCCTGGAATTTTCGAAATTCTTGGAAATGATGTCAAATTCTTGAAATTCACAAAAATTTTCAAACTATGTTTTCAAAATATTGCTTTGTTTATAAACAAAGGTTTGTTTATTTACATTTCTCTTTGTTTATTTACATTTTCAATGTTTATTTACAAAAATTTTCGAAAATTTTTGAAAATTTTGGTCCCCGTTCCAGAATTTTACTTTGTTTGCAAACATTGGTTTGTTTATTTACATTTTTTCATTGTTTGTTTTGAGAAAATTCTTGGAAATGACGTCATATTCCTGGAATTTTCGAAATTCTTGGAAATGATGTCAAATTCTTGAAATTCACAAAAATTTTCAAACTATGTTTTCAAAATATTGCTTTGTTTATAAACAAAGGTTTGTTTATTTACATTTCTCTTTGTTTATTTACATTTTCAATGTTTATTTACAAAAATTTTCGGAAATTTTTGAAAATTTTGGTCCCCGTTTCGAAATTTTACTTTGTTTGCAAACAGTGATTTGTTTATTTACATTTTTCAATTGTTTGTTTTGAGAAAATTCTTGGAAATGACGTCAAATTCCTGGAATTTTCGAAATTCTTGGAAGTGACGTCAAATTCTTAGAATTATTCTCGAAATACTTACCCGTCTCCATACTTACCCGTCTCCATACTTACCCGTCTCCATACTTACCCGTCTCCATACTTACCTGTTCCAATTGCCATTTTTTTAGTTTCTGAACATTTTTTTTTTTCAACAGTTTGCTTAAATCTAGAGTTACTTACCTTCCGTGCACTTACCTTGTACAGCTGTTATCCTTTCGTATTATAGAGCGTTTTATGGATATCTTACTCGAATTCTTTCTCGAAAGAAACGCGGGGATATCACGGGACGTTATCTACGGATAACTATCGATGGCCAGCTCGCTCGGTGTGCGCGCTGAAGTATGGCCAACAAACTACAGGTCTCTGCGCGAATAATCAACGTAATGCGGAGAAACACATCTGTAAATAGTGATCACCGTAAAAGCCCCGTTACCGCCTTCTCCTATCCTCCTTGGATATTTTATGCGCCGCCTCCCTCTCCTCCTTCCTCTTGTCCTACGGATTTCTCGAAAAGTACACTATCCAACCGTGGACGTCATCCGAGAAATGAAAAATCCCCTCCCGATTTGATCCTCCCCTCCCCAGATAGATCGAGCGAACTCGAGATACGGTGTGGTGATCTCGATGGCGGAAGATCGACGAGGAATTTATAACACTCCGGAGAGAGGGAGAAATTTTACGCTTGTGCGTTTGACAAGGGTTTCGCAAGTTTTCGTAATAACACACGCGCCATCTGATCGGCTCGTAAACCGGGCGTGTTTTATGTACAGCCTCAACGGTGACATATTGCCAACCGTCTTAGAAAACAGCTTTCGATGCGAAACGATGGAGGGAGAGGAGAAGGAAAGAGAGGCACGGAATCGAGAGGCAACGATCGTTATTATGTGTCTATCGATTCTATGGAGATCGTAAAAAAGTCTGCGACCCCTTCTTCTCTCCTCCGCCGAGGAAGAGTATAGTAGTCGACTATCGGTGGGCCAGACAAATTTCGCGATGGTTCCCTCTGTGGTTTGTTCGAAAGCAAGGAATAGATAGAAGGGTGTATCGGCTCGCTGCGATAATCTTGAATAACCTCCTCGTTGAATATCCAATTAAGGTTTTACTGCCTCGCCAACTCATTTACCGGTGTCGTAAAAAAAAAAAAAAAAAAAAAAAAAAAAAAGTGAAAAGAAAAGCAAGGTCGAATCACAGTAGCTTCTCGTTATCCGTACCGTTCGGTATCCAACGGTATCCCCTTGTCTATCTACTTTACTCTTTTTTACGACCTCTTCCCAACCCTTGCACCCTGGAAATTACGCCAGATTTCTATAAACCGAATTTCCTCGGACGGAGGAGAGGAAAGAAAGAAAAAAAAAAAAAAAAGAAAAAAATCTTTGGACCGTAAAATTAAAACCGTAAAAGCGAGAGGACGAGATAAATATTCAAATTTCATAATTTTACGTGCAACTGATCAAAGTGAAATCCGGTTTCATTAGAAAAGGGAATAACGAGAAAGCCTAACGAAAGGAAGAACAACGAAGAGATGGTCGGTGCACGCTCGCTCGGACGTATTAATGCGGCAGAGGCGTGGCAATATCCATAAAAGGGACAGGAGAAAGTAATATTGTCGGCATCTGGTCCGCGTGACGGTGGTTCGCAACGACGTAAGAGGGAGGAGGGGGCCCCGCGCGTAGCCTTCCACGCCTATACGGTGGAAATAAAACGGCGACGCTCCTCCGCGAGGAAACACTGGCTTCGGAAACTGCACGGCTTCGCCGGCCCTGTGCTCGGCCGTCGAAGGGATGCCGGATAAATCGTTTTTCGACGCGTTTCGAATACCATCTCGACCACCGACAGCCTCGACCGATCGAGCTCTCTCCTCCTCCCCCCCCCCCTCCCCTCCTCCACCCTCGAGGGTGAATCCGTCGGAGGGCAGTGAAAAGAAATCTGTTTCCGCCATTTCGAATGACCAAGGCCGACCTACACGACCGTTTTTCCCAAATGCCTCGTGCACGCACGCCTCGAAACTCCGTTTACTCCGCTTTTCCGGGTGTGAAAGTTTATTATTATAGGGCTAGATGGACCTCTATCCACAGGGAGAAGAACGTCGTGTTAAACGCTATTTTTCTATATACGATTGTCGTCAAAAAATCGAAGGGAAGCTTTTTTCTTCTTCTTCTTCTTCTTCTTCTTCTTCTCTTCGTATCGGTCGATAATGGCTTTTTTTTTTCGTCGATATCATATTCGAAGAGTAGAGCGGTTCTCGTTTCAAAGAAATGAGGGAGGAACGAAGAACGAAGAGAGAAGGAAGAAAATTAACGAATAGCCGGATCCGGGTATTAAAGTGGAAACAGCGGTAGACAGGGACGATGGAAAACGTGGTTTGCGCGGTCGTACGCGTTCGCCGAAATAACTGCGCGAGGCGAAGACCACCGGCTCACCGCGTTTTCCTCTTTCCCTTCCTCGTCGGTCTCGGTCTCGCGGGGGGGGGGGGGGGGGNNNGGCGCCGTTTCAGGTAGCGACACGACACGAGGGGGGAAAGGTCGTAGGTCGCGGAGAGGCCGGATAGAGCCGGAGGGAACGACGGGAAAAGCTCGTAATAAGCGGCTGTGAATATTCGTCTGTCGTGAAAGTCGGTCCCGTCTTGGCCATAACTCGAGGATCCGTAGGGAGACGCGCGCGTTTCCCGTATTTTTCCCGAGCAAGAGGGGGAGGGGGAAAGGGAGGGGAGGGAGGGGAGAAGAGAAAAAAGACGAGGAAGAGAGAAAGTTTTCTATAAATCATTTCTCACCGTAATAAGCACGGGAATGCTCGTTTAGTCGTTAACTTTTATTTATACGGTCGGGGATAAATTGCCCGCCACTTTTAATTCGAAATCCCTTTAATTTAATACTCGCCGACTTATCGCTTGTCCACCCCTCCCCCTCTCGATGCTCTTGCAGCTTTTTCACGCGATTCTTACGATCGCAGCGACCGAGCTGCGTCGAAGGAAGGTGGGAAAAAGGGGGGGGGGGGTCGAATCGAATTTCTTAACGGAACAACGCCCGCCTCTTCGAGATATTTCCCGGGGCGAATACCGCGTCGAATGAAATCTTGCGAAAAGGGGAAATGCGCGAGATAATAGAGAGGTTGGAACTCACACGAGGCTGCAACCTCGTGCTATCCTGTTAATTCAGGGAATGACCGTTACAATTAACTCGGCGTGTTATTCTTTCATAAGGCCTTCTCACTCTGTTTTCGTTGGCGGCGGTGGCGCTTTCGAATTCCACTATACGATATTT